TTTTTGGTGATTCATATCATTAAGTGTTCATGTCTAGATAATGGTTAAATCGTAGTTGGGAGGGAGGGGGGTCGGGGTGCTTTTATGTCTTAGTTGGAGGTTGTATGTTTCTTAGTTTTTGATGGGTATGGTCCTCATATTTTAAATCTTATTGTGATCGAGTGTAATCAGTGTTTCTTGTCCAGTTTTACGGACATCATGTTTTTTCTACGTGTGTATTAGGTTTATATCTTCATATTTTTTTAAGTGCGATCATGATTAATTTTTTTATCATGTGTTAGTTTGGTGTTCATGTTATGTCTTAGTTGGTGATCATCATGTCCAAGTGACTGTGTGTTTGGTTTGTGCTCATGTTATGTCTTAGTTGGTGATCGTCATGTCCAAGTTTTAGTTTTAGTTTTTTGGTCTTCATGTCTTAGATTTTCGGTGATCATGTCATGTCTTAGTTGGAGGTGTCTGTGTCTTAGTCATGTTATGTCTCAGTTGTCTTAGATTTTTTTTGTGTACATGATAGTTTTTAGTTGGTGGCGATCATGTTCTAAGTGTTTTGTGTGATAGGTTTGTGTTCATGTTTTTGTTCTCATGTTATAAGTGAATGTCTTAGTTTTTGGGGTTATCAAAGTAGCCATGTCTTAGTTTTTGGTGTTCGTGTTATGTCTAGTTGGTGGTTGTCTTAGATTTGTTGTATGTACAAGATATGCTTTAGTTGGTGGTGATCATGTCTCATGTCTTAATTTTTTTTTGTGCTCATGTCATAAGTGTATGTCTTAGCTTTTTGTATATATGTCTTAGTTGGTGATTGTCTTTGATTTGTGTGTGTGTGTGTACTCACCTATTTGTACTCACCTATTTGTGGTTGCAGGGGTCGAGTCACAGCTCCTGGCCCCGCCTCTTCGCTGATTGCTACTAGGTCCTCTCTCTCCCTGCCCCATGAGCTCTATCATACCTCGCCTTAAAACTATGTATGGTTCCTGCCTCCACCACATCACTTTCTAGGCTATTCCATGGCCTGACTACTCTATGACTGAAGAAATACTTCCTAACATCCCTTTGATTCATCTGAGTCTTCAACTTCCAATTGTGACCTCTTGTGTCTGTGTCCCATCTCTGGAACATCCCGTCTTTGTCCACCTCGTCTATTCCGCGCAGTATTTTATATGTCGTTATCATGTCTCCCCTGACCCTCCTGGCCTCCAATGTCGTCAGTGTGTGTGTGTGTGTGTGTGTGTGTGTGTGTGTGTGTGTGTGTGTGTGTGTGTGTGTGTGTGTGTGTGTGTGTGTGTGTGTGTACATGATATGGATTAGTTGGTGGTGATCGTATGCTCGTAAGTGTATGTCTTAGTTTTTTTGTATTTACGTTGTAAAGTCTGGAGAATGAGTGAGTAAACTTTTACTATGCGTGTGTGAGTGTGTGTAGCTTGGTGGATGAGATGTAATTTTCAGTTAACGAAATGTGTGAATGAGAGTGTAATTTGGTGGATGAGTTAGAGATGTCGAATGTTATGCGTGAGTATTCAGATGATATTTTGGAGGTGCTCAAAGTAATCTGGAGGTATTCAAATATTATTTGGAGGTGTTCCAATGTTGTTTGCAAGTGTTCCAATGTTGTTAAGAAGTGTTCCAATGTAATTTGAAAGTGTTCAAATGTTATCCCAAAACCTACTTTAAAAGATGGTGTTGTGAGTTCCTGCAAGTAAGGTAATGAGATTGAAGATTTATCAGCAGAAAAACTGAGAGTGATGATTTTGAAATGTTTATAAAAATGAGATGATCTGTGATCGGAGTAATAGTGATCTTGGTTTTA